AGCTGGGACTGCCAGGGCCCAGGGTGGGGGTGGGGGACTCAAGCTCCTCCAGCAGAAGCAACTACTGGGCCAAGGCACTTGTGGGAGCAGCAGTGTGGGGGAGGTGTCAGTTAGTTAGAGATCTCCTGTGCTCTCCCCCTGTGGAATCACCAAGCTCCTCCCCCTCCCTGCTTGTGGGAAGTAGACTGAGGAAATAAACTCAGAGAGACACCAGGTGGCTGCCATGGCCTTGAGGTTGGGGAGCGGTAGTCTAGACAGAACCACCCTGTCTAGTTCGACTTTCCGCTCAGAATTAAACCTTTCCTCCCATCTTTATTCCCTTCATTCCCTTACTCTCCGTGCACCATAGACAGGGCCCGGGGGTCCTGGCTTCCAAGTGACAAGGTGCAGGGCTTCCACTAACTGGCAATACAGGTGACAGGTGCAGTTCTGGATCCCCCAATCACTGCATCACTCACCCCTCCCAAGCCCCTTCACCTCCCTTTCTAAACCCAATACTCTCACCCCGGCCTAACCACCCTCTGCCACTGCTTCCCCACAGGCAGATGACAGCGGCTTGACTGAGCAGAGTGTGGCCCAGGTAGGCCCCCAACATCTGCCTTGGGCTAGAGGGAGCAGAGTAGAGCCTCCCAGGGGGACACAACGGGAGCTATCAAGGCTGAGAAGTCAGGGTGTGGGAGGGATGAGGCAGTGACAGGCCATCTGTTGGAGTCATGGGAGGCTTCTAGAGTCCCTGAGGTGGTGCTGAGCTGAACATTAATAATTGATGCATGCCTTACTGGCCTTCTACCTCATCTCCTAGCTTGGTATCATTCGATTGAAACCCTCGGGTAAGCTGCTCTCCCTGGAGATGTCTGGGTCACTTGTCCCCCAAAGCAATCTGGGGACTCAGGCTGCTGATGCTCCCCCTAGCCCAGAAAGGACAACAAATAGGAGTTTTCCTCCAAACCCTCATCACTCGATGTTAAGGTCCAAGCTGGAATTGTTCAGGGACCCTTGAGCCTGTGATAGGATCTAACTTTCTCCACTCCTTACTTGCCACCTAGCCCCTAAGTGACCTGGCTGTGGAAAAGTCCATCCCCCACCAGTCCCCTGCATGGTCCTATCTGGGGGTGCATGTGGGGTAAGGGGGAGGTCCCTGGATCTGTGGCCTGACTGGTTTCCCAGCTGTGCAAACTTCCTGCTTATCAGGCTGACTGCTTGACCTCTGTCTGCCCATAGGTCTCTCTGCACAGACTAATCTTGATTTTATGGAGCTTCCTGCCCTGGCACTAACTCCCTCCTGCTGTGGTGGCATAAATGGATGTGTAACATCCCGTGTGGAGCCCCAGGTGTGCTGCCCAATTTCTTGCACTGCCCTTGGTGCTCACCCTGCCTCTCCCTCCTCGTGGTTCCCCAGGCCTCCTTCTACAGCTGCATGGCAGTTTTCAGGTCCTAAGAGGTTAGGGAGCATGAGCAGAGCAGGTAACACAGGCGTGTATGCTCCACTTTACCATGTAGAATCTGGGTGACCTAGGACAAGTTACTCAACCTCTCTGGGCCTCACATAATCACAGGACAGTCCTCATAGAGTTGTTATGAGAATTAGATGACCTTAATGCATGGAAAACTCTTTGTACAGCTCCTATTTTTCTGGGGGAGGGGAATGAAGACATAACACTTTTTAAAATATATATATATATTGATTTCAGAGAGAGGGAGAGAGAGAAACATCAATGATGAGAGAGTTGTCATTGATCGGCTGCCTCCTGCATGCCCCACACTGGGGATTGAGCCCGCAACCTGGGCAACTGCCCTGACGGGGAATGGAACCATGATCTCCTGGATCCTAGGTCAATGCTTGACCACTGAGCCATGCCCAGACATAGCACTTTTAATGGGATTCTTGGGTGAAAACCAAGGAAGCCCAGGTAGTGAGTGGAAGATGAAATGAGGAGAAAGTTGGATTCTGGCTAGAAAAAGCAGGAAAACCTCCAGGGCCAGACTGTCCCTGAGAGGAAGGAAGACTGTGCAGGAAGAAAGGACAATTTGGGATGAACTGTCAGACAGGAATGAAGCTTGGTAGCTGGAGGGACGATCTGAGAGACATGTTGGCATTGTGTGTGCACATTGGAATGGATTTGCATAAGCACTGGACTGAGGTTGTTTCCTCAGCTGCATGTGAGAGTGAACAATCTGAGTGCAGGTGCCCCATGGCAGTGTCTGGCCAGCCACCGTTGCCAGCTGCGCCACATCAGCAGTGGGTTGGAGTGGGGTGTGGAGGACATACTGCCAGCCAAGGCCAGACCTAGAGTTTTGCTGAGGTGTCTGAGCTCAGGAAGTGTCAGGCCTGGGCCCAGTTTCTGCCTGGACGTGGCACTGTGGGCGGGAGCAAGGATGACTTGGTATGGGAAAGACAGAGCCTGCTGCCACACCCACCACTGCAGATGCAGAAACCAGAGGGCTGAGCAGGCTTGGGGCTGGGCTGGGAGCTGGCTGCAGCCAGTTTGGACTGCTCTTGGTCTGGCTGGCCCGCCTCCGCTCAAGTCAGGCAGAGATGAGCGGCTGCCACCTAGTGACCAGGAGTTGCAGGGACACTTAGGGAAGGTGGGCTGTAGACCTCCCTCTGCGGTATCAAGGCACTTGGCATTCCCGAGTTCTTTCTCTCAACCTTCCTCCCCACCCCCAGGTTCTTCAGTCTGCCAAGGAACAAATTAAATGGTCGTTACTGAAATGAAGGCTGTGCGTTGGAGGCTCCCTGCCTTCAGATAATTTCCCCAATCCTGGCAAAAACTCAAAGACACCCCCCCTCCCCCCAGGAGAGACCCCTTTGTATTCCCAGGCGCTCCCAGAACGGACTCCTGAGTTCACTGGCTAGGGACTCTGAAGTGAAAAGATTTGGCTTTAGCACTGAGTCACCACTTCTCATTGCCCTGGCTGCCCCTTGGGCCTTGAGAACCAGCTGAGCTGAACTCAGACCTTAGGCATCCCTGGCCCCAGAGCCCTAATAAACCTGCTTTTGTCTCCTGACAGTCCTCTCCTTCTCTCTTGGCCTGGTAAGCATGTGTGTGTTCTGTTAAGGGCTCCTGCACTTTCTGTGCCTTGTCTTTAGGATTCCCATTACCAGGGCATATCCCAGTGGTTGTGTGATGGGGGGTAGAGGGTCAAGGGAAAGGGGACAATTTAACATAGTGAGGGTGTGTTACTCAAGTACCAAGAGGCCCCATATGATTGTGTGACACGGTAAAAGAGTAATAATAGGAGGAATGGCACATATTTGGGAAAAGGAGGAAAAAGATGGTACACACATGGTGGACCCGCTGGGGATTCTGTGAGTCATTTTTCTATTACCACCCTCCAGAAGGGAAGGGCGTAAGGCTTCCTCTGGACAAAGTGAGGAACAGCACGCCTGTTTTTCTTGGCATGCCTGGGACTGCGCAGTGCTTATACTGGCATGTACCCTGAGCACTAGAGCTCTGCAAGCTTGCCCTGGCTGGGCTCAGATGCTGGGGGCATCAGCCAGCAACACCCCGTCCCTGGCCTCCGTGTACATGCGTCCAGAACTGTGAACCCAGTGAACCCCAGAGGATGTGAAGAATTAATTGCAGGTCCGCTGGAGAGAAGGGCGGGGAGGGATGAGAGGGGCAAGCGGGAAAGATGGAGCGACTTTCTGGGCGACACGACTCCTCTTTTCTCTCGCCGTCCTAGGACTCCCCCGTTTCTCCTTTTCTTTCTCTGACGCGTACCCTTTCTGCGTCCACGTACCTAAGTCCCCGGGAGTATCTAACGTTCAGCGTCCGGAAAACATGTTTTCGCTGGAACCCTTGGTGACTGCAGCCTCCAGTCCGCGTCCCGCCCCGACCCCGCCCCTCGCTGGGGCCCTGGCCTAGAGGAGCCCCGCCCCAGGAGCGCATTCGCGATCCTATAGCGCCACCTGCAGGTAATGGTGGGAAACGTGGGCGCCCTGGGTCCACTGGCTAACCCCGCCCCTCAGGGCGGGATCGACCCCTGCTCCAGCAAGATGGTGGCGGGGCTGCTAGGCCGGCGACCGAGCGTCGCACTAGCAACCAGCACGTCTGACCCGCCCCGCAAGTTCGCCGCCAGCGCGAGCACGGGAATTCGCGCCAGCCGCTGCAGTGGGAAAGCGGCGAGCCCCGGGCGCTAATTGAAGCCGTCTCTGCGGGTTTCACGTCCTTCATTATGAAACTCTCTAAGATTGGATATTTATAATGGGCATGACTACTTATGTAATTAGAAAAAACGATAAAGACGTAGTTATGTAAACATATACACTGTAAACACTGTGTATATAACCCATTCCAGTAAATAATGCAAAAAGGCAACTCTAAACGGGAACAGAGAGTATGCAATTAAATGCCGTAGAGTTCAGGAGCCAGCCTGGCGACGGGAAATGAGAAATTCTCCAGAAATACTTTGGCAAATATGCGGCCTCATCCGGTGCCCGGCTCCATCCACCGCCTCTAAAAGACCACAAGGACTGGAAGGGTAAATTCACTTCCTAGCAACCCGGTCGCGCCCTCCCGGGCCCTGCAATTCCGATTGTACAGGAGTAAGAATGTGAAGGCCCAGGGTTTCCACATACTGGCTCATTGCATCCTGTAGACTATGGGATGCTATCCCCATTTCACGGAGAGGCACACCGAGGCTCTGAAAGGTTAACATGTTTGCAGCTGTTTCTGCAGAGCGGGGTTCGGGAGGGGAACTGCTGGAGATAGGTGGCTTTCCCGCACCCCCTGCCCTGGGGCCGTCTGAACTCCTCCTCCATAAAGGGACTGTTCTGGGCTCAGAGGAGTGAGCGGAGGGGGTATGGCAACGCAGAGAAACGATCAGAAATGTGTCCCCGTCCGCTGTAGCTAAAGAACGATGCGGAGGCGGTTACAGCAAAGCAGCCAACCCTAGTTCGCAGAGGGAAAGAGGGCAGCGCAAAAAGGGCTGAACCAGGGAGGGCCGGGCGGCAGGGAGGGGGCGCTGCTCATTCCCAGGGAGCCCAAGTGTGCGGGTCCCGTCCCTCTGGAGGAAGAGGGGGAGGCCCCGTCGTGCCCCCGGCCCTTCTGGGCGCCCGCAGCCCTGAGGAGCCACCAGGTCGGCGGGCCCGGCCGAGTGCCTAGGGCTCTGACCGCTGGCACCGGCTGTCCCCAGACGGCCTCATTAACGCTGCAGCGGGCGCGAGCCGACCAGCGCGCTGCGGAGCGCCGAGCACGCGGTGGGCGCGGCGCCGTCTGCCCAGAACCGGGTTTCGGGAAGAGCAGCCGGCTGTTCCCGGCGCGAGCGGCCGCCGGGGCCGGCCTTCCCGGCCGCTCTCGCCCCCAAGGCCCCTCCCCGTCTTTCTGCATCCACCTCCCCCTCGCCCTCGTGGGCCACCCAGAGGGTCTGGAGTGTGTGCAGGGAACGGGGCTTCCCGGGACCGCCTTTCCTCCTGCTGAGTCGGTACCGAGGTGCGTCAGACAGAGACCCCATGAGCCGGGCCCAGCCGGGAGGCGCACACGGAAGCACTGGCCCAGGGGCTCTGGCGCGGGGGAAGCTGGCCACCCCTGCCCTGGGCTGGGGACACCGAGGCGGTCCCTCCAGGCTCTCGGACGCCCGTTTTACCACCCGAGCCGTCCCCTCCCTCTGCGGCTCCGCGCTCCCCCTGCTTCCCGGTCATTGGCTGCGGGGAAGGAGGAGCCGGTCCGATTGGCTCGCGCCCCGACAGTGATCAATGGCCCCGCCGCCTGGCCCCGGGGGAGAGGGAGCCGGGCCAGCAGCGCACCCGGGCGCGGGCGGGGCCCGCCGGGCCTGGCAGTGGGGCGAGGGTTGAGCTGGAGACCCGCCTACGGTGCAAACTTTCTGTGCTCAATCTCTGCTTGAAACACTACAGAGAGAGAGAAAAAAAATCTTACCTCTGAATTCCCAGTAGACACCCTTTAACTCCGGAACCTGATGCAGGCAAAGTAGAATAATCTACCCAAAGCACATTGGGCACAACCCTGCAGACCCCCCTTTCCCTCCAAAATGAGTCTCATTCATTTAACAATATTCGTGCGTTCCTTTCCTTCGTCAGTCCGTCCGTCCATCCGTTCATTCATTCATTCGTTCATTCACTCACTCACTCATTCGTTTATTCAAATATTTGAGTGTTTGCCATGAGCCAGGAACTAGGGAGAAAAAGGGAGGGAGACTGACTAGCAAGTGATGGGACCCAGACAGGGCAGTGGGGTGGAGGTGGAGGGTTGGAAGGAGAGACGGAATTTGAGAGATATTTCAAGGTAGAAATACCTTTTAAGATCAAATGGTGTTCTATACCTTGATCTGAGTGGTGATAAAAATTCACAGAACTTACATCTAAGATGTGTATGAAGTATGAAGTGATACTGCATTTTTAAAAAAAAGATTAATCAAATGGCTGCCAAATTTTACTCTATCATCAGCATTTCTATGGTCCTCATCTGCTTTCTACTCTCTTCTTCATCTCTACCAACTAAACCTGGAAAATATCTTAGATGAGGATCCAAGAAATGAGAGTGATTGTGGAACACTTGTGGACTTTCCACTGTACGTGTAGACGAGTGCCACCCCTCAAAGTGGACTCTCTGGTAAGAAAAGCAGTATTGATAAAAAAAATAATAGTAGTATTAGTAAAATAAAATTTATTTTGAGTAAATTTTTTAACAGATGTTTATTAACTGGCTGTTCTGAACTAGGCACCTTGCTGAGGCTTGATGGGAGCTTCTAAGCTGAATTGGAAGACAGTTCCTGACCCAAGAAGCTCACAACTGGACTGCAACTAAGTCCCGTATGCAGAAATTATAAACATTGACCGAGGAGATGGTATATTACAGGAGATAGTATTTGACAGAGAGAAGTCAGGGAAAGAGACACTAAAAAGGGAGCAATAACTAAGCAAAGAAAAGAGGCAGAGAATGTGTCTAGGGAATTACAGGTAGGCAAATGTAGCTGGATGGAGGATGTGTGTCTCTGTGGGAAAGCTGGGGTGTGTTGAGACATATGGAGTCTCCCTAGACAGGTTGCAACTGGATCAAGGCGAGTGTTGAATGACATGCAGAAGAATAACTGCCATTTACTGAGTTTACTACTTTGAGCACCTTAGAAATACTATTGTCCTCAAAACCACCTAACCAAGTAGGTGTTGTTAGCCCTGTTTTTACAACTGAGGGCAAGAGAGTTTGGATAATTTGCTTTAGGGCACTGAGGTGAGATTTAAACCTGTCCTGGTCTGACTCCATTGCCAATAGCTTTTCACCTCAACCACAGAGCTAAGGAGCTTGGCTCGTATTATGAAGGCATTGGGGAGCCATTGAAAATTTTCAAGCAGTTAAGTTATATCAACTCTGTGCTTCAAGCCAGAAACTCTGTCAGTGACATGGAAAGTGGGCTGAAGAGGGGGAATAAGAATTTAGGGTCAGAGTATGATCCACAGAAGGCAACTGGTTTGTTTGTTTGTTTTTATTTATTGATTTGAGAGAAAGACAAATATCAATTTGTTGTTCCATTTATTGATGCACTCATTGGTTGATTTTTGTATGTGCCCTGACCGGGGATCAACCCCACAACCTTGGTGTATTGGGACAATGCTCTAACCAAATAAGCTACCTGGCCAGGGCCCAGAGGGCAATTATTTTCCTTATAGTCTCTTCTCATTCTTTATATAAAACAGTACCATCCAGCTTGTCACCAAACCACCTGCAAAAATCCAATCCACTCAGAGCTTGAATTAATTTAGATAATTGTGAGCAATAATTTCAAAAGAGGGGTTCAAAAGGGACCACTTTGTTAGGGATGATAATTTGGACGTTTAGGTCATAAAAAGTATGTCAAAAACTAATAAATCCATTTTGTAGCTTATATATTTGGTGCATTCTTATCACCCTCACCTACCCCCACTCTGCAAATNCCACCTGCAAAAATCCAATCCACTCAGAGCTTGAATTAATTTAGATAATTGTGAGCAATAATTTCAAAAGAGGGGTTCAAAAGGGACCACTTTGTTAGGGATGATAATTTGGACGTTTAGGTCATAAAAAGTATGTCAAAAACTAATAAATCCATTTTGTAGCTTATATATTTGGTGCATTCTTATCACCCTCACCTACTCCCACTCTGCAAATACNTGTCAAAAACTAATAAATCCATTTTGTAGCTTATATATTTGGTGCATTCTTATCACCCTCACCTACCCCCACTCTGCAAATACACACACACACACACACACACACACACAAGACCAAATGAAAGAAAAAGAAGTAGCAAGAGCCCAGCTGGCATGGCTCAGTGGTTGAGCATCGACCTAGGATCCAGGAGATGGAGGTTTGATTCCGGGTCAGGGCACATGCCCCGGTGGCGGGCTCAATCCCCAGTAGGGGGCCTGCAGGAGGCAGGCAACCAATAACTCTCATCATTGATGTTTCTATCTCTCTCTCCCTCTCCCTTCCTCTCTCTGAAATCAATAAAAATATATATTAAAAAAAAAAAAATAGCAAGAGAGATCTGATTCCATTTGACCAGAACCACAATTTCTCTTTATCTAGAGACATAACTTTTAAGACATTGAACGAATGTATCTTATTCTCATGGCTGTCAATGAGTCTTCATCCAGGAAAACTTGATGATAAAAGAAAACTCTGAAAGTCATGGAGGCTTGGCCCTGTGTCCAAGCAACAGCTTCTTAGTGACTGATAGGGATTCTTGGGGTAGGTATGTTAGGGACATATGGGGTAGATATGTGGAGGCAGGGGTTCACTGATGGAATGATTGGAAAAGACTGGCCTCAGCTGCTCCTGGATTGCAGTGGACCATCCTTACCACTCCAGAGGGTTTAGCTCTGTGTCTGGAAAGTTGGAGGGTTCCCGGAACATTCTCTCCTAAGAGATGGCTAGGAAAGTCCAGAATTCGTAAATTGGCTATGGGGAAGCAGGTGAGACTTAGAAACAAAACAAAACAAAAGCCTGAGACCAAAAAATATCTGCAGGGCAACAAGAATCAGCGCTTACAGGTCTGTCCAGAAGATGGCGCTGTAAGACAAGCCCCACTTCCATCCTTCCTTGCCCAGAAAAGGCCTGCAGGAACCAGATCTAGAAGGCATCTCTATCTACTACCTACCTGGTGGCAGTTATCCCACGGTGCTGAGCATTGGAGTCCATTCCTAGAGATCCCCTAGACCACAGAGCAGAACCTTGGGCGGGGGTCCCATGTGAGAGGTGTGAGCACCTTGGTGGGAAGGAGGGGAGGGTGAGAGACTCTAGGAAGCCCAGACAATTGTGCTGAGAAAACAGGGCCCCTGATGAATACACTGTCAGAAAGTCGGATATCTCTTTCAACATTCAAGATATGACCCCACTCCCCAGGGTAGCTGGAGGTTGGAGAAGGAGTCTGAGGGGATTGGGCACTGAACAAGGTTATAATCTGAGGTAGAAAAAAGGAAGTTGGTTGGTCTGGGAGAACAAGCCAGAGACTTTCAAATGAAGAATGTAAAGTTCAAAGGATGACTTACCCAATTCATAGAGCTAACAAGTGACAACTGAGATAGGAATGAGGGCTTCCTGAAACACTGCTCACCTCCCTGTGTCCCACTGCCCTATGCTTCCGGCAGAACATAAGAATCTAACATTTATAAATAGAATGCCTGTCACAAGGAGTGCATTTCTGGGCAATTAAAAAATAACAGGTTCTTGACTTGAACCCCAAATCACATTTTTCTTTGCATATTTTCAATCAGATTTATCGAGGTATAACATATACATTAAAATTCATCCACTTTAAGTCTACATTTCATGAGTATTAACAACTGTATATGGGTATGTGGTATAGTTTCTAGGTACATCAATTCCAATAGTGCTGTTTCTTTTTTTATTTTTTGGTGAGAGAGAGAGAAACATTGATTTGTGTTCCACTTATTTATACATTCATTGGCTGATTCTTGTATGTGTCCTGACCAGGGATCGAACTCTCAACCTTGGTGTATCAGAACGATGCTCTAACCAACTCAGCTACCCGGCCAGGGCCTCCATTAAAATAATGAAATTAATAAATGAGTGCCCTGAGCTGCATTTATTTTCAAAGAAAGGAGAATTTATGTACAAAATGCAGAATAACTTCTTGCACAGGTTTCCTTTAACAGGATTTATGCAAATAACTCACATTTGTCAAGTTCTTTAAAAGAATTCCCTTTCCTCCGCACAGGTGATTGTATTTGCATTCCCTCCTGCTGTGAGGCAGCCAGGCACTGTCATCCCCACTTCACAGGTGGGGAAACTAACGCTGTGAGCAGAAGCAGTGAGGTCTGAAACCAGGAGTGGGCTTCACTTTGGAAAAAGGTCTCTCCTTTGTTAGGACACTGTCCTGGACCCAGTGGGCCTGCCCTTCCTATTTGTTTGCTGTGAACCCAGAATGTTTGTTGGAGTCAGCAAGATGGTGCATCCTGACTGGCAAAATGGCTGGGATTAGGCTAACGGGTGGGTGGGTGGAGGAAGGAGATGGACAATCAGGCATACTTCCCCAGATTCCAGTAGAAAGTTTGGGGGCCATACTGAAATGAGTCAGAGAAGGGAAGAATCCTGGAAAACAATGCAGAACACCGCACTCCCTCTCCTGCTCCCCTCCCCCAAGGAGGATTAGGATGCAGGGAGGCTGCTTTTGTGCACCAAGGATGAAACGAGTGTTTATGAAGGCTGCAGAAGCATGCCAGGATGCTAGTCCAGGCACAATTAATTTCCAGGACCTGAGATTAATATTACTCCATCCTGAAAAACTGAAAAAAATTTGTGGGGCCTCTAGTTCTCTAACCCTTTTGTTCTGGGGTGCATCTGGAGCCTCCTTTTAGGTTTATCTGGATAAATTGAGAGGAGCTAAGATGCAGCAGGTGGGAAAGAGGCAAAGAGGGGCTGGGACAGTAAGGAGGGAATAGTGGGGAGAGATTTGGGAGGCCAGGCTTGGGAAGGATCTTAACTGCCCTCCGAGTGCCCCTGCGCAAGCACCCCCTCTGAGATGGGCTTTCCAGAGGATGCTTAGCTTAAAGCTCAGACCCTGGGCAGCAGCAAGGGGGGGGATTGGAGTGTCCCAAGGCTGGTAGGCTCAAGGGACCTATTTGTAGAGTCAGAGGCTCAGAGGCTGCCATGTGCAAGCTGCTTAGGGCTCCATGTTGCAAAAGAAGTAAGAAGCTTCCCTGATGACACCCTTTCTCTTCCTCCTCTTTCTGACTCATTTCTTCCTTCCACTTTCCCTAAACCCGCTGAATCCCTTAGGCAGCTGGGATCAACATAAGCTAGAGGCTGATCCGTGTACAAGGGAAATAGAGGAGCCTGGAAACAGCAGAACCTGGGAGAGGTATCCGTGTACAGGGCAAATGAGGGGAGCCTGAAAACAGCTGAATCTGGGGAGATGGAACTGCCTAGTGAGAGAACAAGGGGGTTCTGGAAACTGTTGAACCCAGGGAGGCCAATTTGTGTACCGGGGAAACATAGGGGAACCTGGAAACAGCAGGAACTGGGGAGACAGTTCGTGTACAGGGGGGGCAGAGAGAGAAGCCTGAAAACAGTTGAAGCTGGGGAGGTAGATTCGTGTGCAGGGGGAGCAAGGGGAGACTGGAAACCTCACAACCCGGGGAGATGTGGCAGTGTACAGCAGAAGCTGCACAGCCTAGAAACAGGGGCTCTCGGGATGGATCTGTGTGGGATTGCCGTGAGGACATGGGGGAGCCTGGGGAGTATGATGAGGCAGGCAGGGGCGGGGGACAGGCAAGCGCAGGGGACAAGTCAGGAGGCTGTTGTGTGGAACGGGGCACACTGGAACCCCTTCCTAGTAGGTCTGAGTGAGACTCCTTCGAAACCCCTTCTTCCAGACAGGGCAGGGGAAGAGAGTAAATCTCCAATGGGG